GCCTGCTAATCCGATATGTTACTGTTACTTCATGACGCAGTGCATAAATCACCGCGATTGCTCTGCTCGTGATAGCCCAATTTGCTTATGATTTTCATATTTCTGCATCTCCTGGGAAGCTATGTTTTATGCATAGTTTGGCCTGACGAACAGCGCGCGGTGGGCGGTTTGTCTGGTTGGGGGCGGGACCACGGCTGAGCGCTATTCTACCGGGCCGGACCGGGACGCCGCATGTTAGCGAAGGGCCATCCATGTTCAGGCGGCCGAGGCGCCCTCCAGCCCGACCGCCGGCGCCAAAGGTCAGGACCCCGGGTGCTGCTTGACCCAGTTGGAGCAGCCCAGATCACGGCTGATCGCGCGCGCGCGCGCACAGACACTTGAGACGCGCTCACAGAGATCCCGCAGACGCCGCCACAACTCTTCTGGGCCGCGCGCTGTCATCGACGAGCCGTGTTACACGTGTCGGCGCGGTCGCACCCCTGCCGCTCGCGACCTGCGCGCTGCCAGCGCCGGCGGCCTTTGTAGCGGCACGCGCGGGAGCGGTGCACGCACTCCAGCTGAACAATGCGCTCTGCACGCAGCACGGGCCTGCTCTCCTCGGTCTCGGCCGGCTTGGCGACAGCCGGCCGAACCGGCACCGTTATGTCGAGCCGCGGTGCGGGCGGTATGGTGATCAGGACGGCTGTGCAGTACGGTGTCGGCGGAGCCGCGCGACAGCCGCCGCCGGTGACCGGCGACGGGCCAGCCGCGGCGCCGCCCGCTGGCGCGCCGCATTGGTAGCGAGCAGCAGCGCCGCCATCGCCGCTCACGGGCCGTCTCCCTGTGTTTACAGGCTCCGGACTCGTTCGATCTGTCGCTGAACATTCCGTCTGGAGGACTGTACGCCATGTCTGAACAGGTGAGACTCAGACTCTGACTCTGACTCTGACTCTGACCCGATCGCAAGCCCTTGCCGACAGCACCAGCCGGTCATTTACGAAGCCAGAGGTGGTATCTTGGGCGTAGGAACTCGTGGTGATTTCGTGCGGATGCAGTAACCGCCCGAGGCTAAAGTTGAAGCGCTCGGCGAACCTCTCGCCATTCTAATTCAACATCGACTTAACGCGAGCACGGTACGCGACCCGGCGATTGTTCCGCTGCCGCGTTCAGAAACCATACCTCGTCACCCCCGCCGTCCAGGCGGCCCCGCGCGGTAACTGTCGGTGGCCGGACCGGGGCGCTTTTTTGGCCGTCCATCTCGCCCTCAAATCGGCGCCGCCCCGCCGCCGCCTCCGCCGCTTGTATTCGAGGTGCGGGCCGGTCGGAGATTGGCTCGCCGTGGACTCCATCCTACCTGACCTGACACAATGCATTTCTGAGTGACTGCGCTGGACGCCGCCGGAACGCTGCCCAGGCGAGGAGGAGTGGGGGGGGGGGGGGGGGGCTCTGATGGGGTGCCGACGCCCGCGGCGCCGGAGGTGGCCGGCCGGTCACTGGGTCCCAGCCGGCCGGGCGTCCGGCGGCCTCACCGCCCCTGCCTCAGGTGTCACCGGGTCCCGGCTCCCGCCATTGCGTCCTGATCACTCACATGCTCGAAGCGTTGTCGACGTGGTGGTTCGCTCGGAATCACATGCATGAGTCGTGAGGGTTCGCAGCAGTGCCCTCTCCGGGCCTCGCCTCCTGCGGTGTCGTTACAGGCGAACCCTGCTGGGGCCCAGCTCACTGGTCTGTGCCGACTTCGGTCTATTCTGCGAATTCAACTCGGCTGCTAGTTCGAGTTGTTACAGCGCGGAATAAGAAGATAAATCGGACGGGAAATTCGCGGAGGCAGAATAGAAAATTGTAACGTAATTTTGATAAGTTTTCCGCTGGTTTTGCTGAGTTGGTCGGATTCTCTCGATGCTGAAAAAGTGGGAGCCGACGCCGGGAGCGCTGACGACAGCTTTGGATTGATCTGCTGCCGAGTTTGGATCCAGGAGAGCGGCAGCAGACGTGGGTCGGGTCCGTTGGAGATGTTTGCAGCGGGCGGGACTGGGACCCGGTGGGACTGCTGCGGCCGGTGGGCGTGGCACGGATCTGCCGAAGGTGTCTGCGGTGGGCGGGGCAAGGATCTGCCGAAGGCGTCTGCAGCAGACGGGGCACGGATCCGTCGAAGGTGTCTGCGGCAGACGGGGCACGGATTTAATGGGGCTGCTGTGACAGCCAGAACCTGACCTTGGCGACGAACACTCTGCCTGACTGTGGCCAGTTTGGCCGGCTCTGCCCTGTCGGGGTCCGGCACCGGCTCTGCTCGTCCCCGCCTCCGAGCTGCAGAGGGTGAACTCCTGCTGCGGGGCAGGCCCAGCCGAGACTGTGTTCCCCGGCCGGCGGTCGGAGCCCGGAGGAGGGCTGTGCTTTCCGGCCGGAAGTCGGAGCGGTGGTGACAGGCATCAACTGGACAGGCGCTTGTATGGCGGCAACGTTGCGATGAAATCTTTCAACGTCAGCCAATCACGCTGCGTTGAGCGGTGCTTTAAGGGTTTCCCATTGACATGCTGCACGTGCTGGCGGTGGCGGAAGCCACTCTTGTTTAGCCTGCTCCCTATGGCTAGCCTGCTGCTCCCCTCTGGCTAGCCTGCTCCGTGGAGCGCATCCCATCTGGCCTGCGGTGCAGTTCTCCGACAGCCGTGGCCGGTTGTCAATAGCCGCCTGTTCGGCCTGCCGCCGGAGCTGGCAGCCGCGCGCTGCGTGCGGCTGACGGTGGGGGTGGAACACGTGCACTGCCGGCACCTGCAGCTGGGTAACGACAGGCCTGCTGCGGGCGGCGCTCGCTGCGGCCATTAGGCCGACCCGCGCCGACCGACTCACACCATTGCAGCTATGTAAATTGTAAAGGCGCAGTCTTTATTTTGATCTGACTTGGCGATATTAAAAGCGGACGAAACGCCGACTGCTCCGCTGGGAAATTTCGCCGAGTAAGGCCAAAAGTTAAACGGGTTGAGCTTAAACAATAATCCAATAAATAGAGACAACTGGTGCGTAAAGACGGCAGAATGAGCGCAGTCGAACAGTAATGACGTTGTGTTTGTTGTCCAAAATGCACTTTGGGGAAGTGAGCCGGCGGCGGCGGCAGTCGCGATTCGGCAGCGCCGTCTGCGGCGAAGGTTGGAGTCGACCGGAGCGGGTCCCACCGGGCTGCCACTGTACCTGCGGCTCCTCCCGTGGCTCCCAGACAGGGCGGCGGCAGCTCCGAGCGTGAGAGAGGGAGGGGTCTGAAGGGCTGCACCCTCCTCCGCCTCTCGCTCGGGTCACCGTGTCGGTCCCGGCACCCGCTCGGACGTATGGACGTATGGGGCATGGGGCTTGACTTGCTGGGATGACCGCGTGGAGCAGCATCATTGAGAGTCCGCTTCCTCCCTGACCTGTGAGGGGTGGTCGAGTGACCGGCGCCCGTCTGCTCCCCGTCGTCGCGAGGTCCAGCGGGCCGCCGGGCGACATTCGATACCGAACTGGATCGTCTGCCAGCGGTGGTCTGCGACGGTACGGAAAACCGAGCCGGCGGCGGGCGCCTCACCGCCCCTGAATCAACGGGGGACAACCCTGCCGCCTCTGAGCCCGCGGGGACATCTCACCGACACTGACCGATCCTGAGCCGGCGGCGGCGGCCCACCGGTAGCTGAGCCAGCGGTGCCGCCCCGGTCCTGCGGCCTCAGCTCTGGTGCGAGTCTCCCGTCCGTGGAGCGGGACACCTTACACGGCCCACCGCCAGCAGGGCCGGACTCTGGCCGTATTGTAGTCCACCGCCGGTGGAGCAGCACGGCAGCCGTGTCTCCCGCCGGTGGAGCAGCGCGGCAGCTCTCCTCGCCGGTGGAGCAGCACGGCAGCCGTGTCTCCCGCCGGTGGAGCAGCGCGGCAGCCGTGTCTCCTCGCCGGTGGAGCAGCGCGGCAGCCGTGTCTCCTCGCCGTTGGAGCAGCGCGGCAGCCGTGTCTCCCTGCCGGTGGAGCAGCACGGCAGCCGTATTTCCCGCCGGTGGAGCTGTCGGGCCGTACACGGCTGGGCTCGCTGGGTGGGATTATTTCGCCGTTGGAGCAGCACGGCAGCTGTGTCTCCCCGTCGGTGGAGCAGCACGGCAGCCGTGTCTCCCGCCGGTGGAGCTGTCGGGCCGTACGCGGCTGGGCTCGCTGGGTGGGATTATTTCGCCGGTGGAGCAGCACGGCAGCCGTGTCTCCCGCCGGTGGAGCTGCCGGGTCGTACACGGCTGGGCTCGCTGGGCGGGATTATTTCGCCGGTCGGCGCTGAATGGGTTGATTCGCCGGCCCTGGATCGGATTGATCCCGCAATTAGGCTGATTTAGTCGCAGCCGGGATTGATCTCGCGCGCTCGCCGTCCGCTCTGTCTGTGCCCGTCGGTGCGGTCGCTCTGTCTCATCCGTGCGCCGTCGGCCTGAGCGGGGTCGGCGGCCCCCTGTTGTCCCGCCGCTCCCGCTTCACCACGGCGCGCAGTGCGGTATCACCATTCGAGCCTTCCCAGTATGGCATGCTGCCATCGGCAGACGCACTCGTCAGTGTTGGCTCTATTCCCGGCGTGAGTTGCCATTTAGCCACGTTCGTCAGGGCGCTTGTTATGTAGCAGACGTCCTGTAATCGCGAGGCACCAGCACTGTAGCAAAATTGTCATCCCTGTCGCTTTACCACCGTGCACACATTCATCCCTGTCGCTTGCATCTCCCAGCGCGCTCGCGCCGCACCGCGTTCATTTGTTCACCCGGCGTGTTCACACCTCGCGACGCCCTGTTTTAGCGCCCAGTTGGCGGCCGAGGTTCGACATCGTCGGTACACTCGAGCCGGCCAACTTAGGCCATCGGCGCGGGCGGCGCCACTCCGGAGCCGGCCGATAATCGGATCAGCGGGCCGACGCCGGGTTTTGATTCTGGCCGGTCGGCTCCCGGGGCGCCGTTTAGATTGACACCGGTATCAGTCGGCGGTCCCGCGAGGCGCCGCCGGCCGGTCGCCGACGATTTGCGACGGCCATCGACGCGGCCGTCGGTCGTCGCGGCCGACGCGGCGTCGTCGGAACGGCGCCGTTCGTCGACGCTACGGCGCCCTCCGTCCCAATTAGAGCGCGCGCGCCGCGCCGGTCGGCAGAGTTACTAACAGGTGGTCGGCCGGCCGCGGCGGCCGCCGAATTATGAAGCGGCCGCGGCCGCGTCGCCTCATTGGCGCCCGACAAGCGGCCGCTTAGGTCATTGACGGATCACCGTCAGGGGAGGGAGAGGTCGGGTCGCCGCCGCCGCCGCCGCCGCCCGCGCCCGTGTGGCCGCTCGTGGAACGACAGAACATCGCCGCAGGCATGCGGTGGGGGAACAATGAGGGGAGGCGTGACTGCCGACGAAAGCGTGTATTGTGTGTTTGAAGCGCCGGCCCGTGGTACTTGGCATGTGTGATGCTCAGAGCCAGAGGACTTCAGCGGGGTGCCAGCCAGCCTGGCCTTTCCTGTGTGGGATGTCGTCGGCGGCCTTGTGTGACGGACTCTCTGGCCGGGCGCGGCCGCTTGTCCTCCCCATCGAATCCGAGGCGGACTTGCATTGACCCCGCTTGACCTGAGGTCAAGACCCGGCCGGGTTGGCGCTCTCCTCTGTCGCGCCCGGTGCCCGCTGGAGCTGACCGCGGCGCTGTTTCAGTCGTACCAGCCGCCGAGCCTCGGCGACGAGGAGTTCGAGCTGCCACCGCTGATGTCGGATGGTGTCGGCCACGGCGGCCAGCAGGGCGGCATGTACTCGCCGGCCATGGAGGTAAGTCAGCACACCCAGCCCCAGTGGCGACGAGTCCAAGGGCCAGGTCTGCGAAAAGATTGCTTCATTCTCTAAAAGCCACGGTTTTCGCGTAATTGGCGCAGCTTTCAAGGGACCGTCTGCTCGCAAAGCGTTGTGTGCACTTCGCTCTTGTTTAGCTGGTAATGTTCACATTCTCCCTCGTGTAAGTGGGGTGGTAGGGAACCAACCAATGGCGATTCCAAATAACTTCTTGCGTTGCTTCGCCATGTGAAACTTGAAGCGACTTTGAAGGATTCTTTCCGGTCCAGTTGCTCTTACCGACCCAGTGGCGCCTTGGTCTCGTGGTCCCAAAGTCCAGTGTCCCCTTGGTCCTGCCTCGTCCACCTTTTCATGCTGTCCTGGTCTGGAGCGGGTGGTACTGGCGGGAACGCCGGTCCGTTCCGGTGCGATCTGGCCGCACCAGGAAGTCAATAGACCCTTCCCTTGCAGCCTTCACAGTCGGGCCATCGGGCCATTGGTCACCGGCCGGCATGTTTTGCATTATCACGACAAGTGGCACGGACTGTTGCTAGGCGATATCGATTGCGCCGCGGGCCCGTTCCTGTTACATCATTGATCAGCTGGCGGCGGCCGCTCGGCCGGGCTCGGTCGCGGCGCCGGCCGCCCGGAAGCGATAGGTCTGTATCGGCGGTGGACGGCGTGCCCAGCGGCCGCCGTGGTCTAGGTCGCGGCCGGCCGCCCCCGGCCACCGGCGGCGAGCTCGGTCCGGCCGGCTCACGGGGCGGCGGCGGCGGCGGCGGCGGCGGCGCGGCGGCGCGCTGCCCGCCGCGCCGGGTCGGGTCAGGGTCAAGCCGCACTCCGGGTGCGTCCGCGTGCCCGGTCACCACCCTGAGGCACGAGCACGAATACTGAGTGAGGCGCGAGTATTTCAGTAGTCCGACGGTGACAGACGGCGAGAACGGTGTGGCGGACGATGCTCGTCATGCAGCCAGTGAGCTGCGTGGTAGAGCAGTTTATCGGCTGTTCTACCGAACTCCACGTCAGGGGGACGGTGTTGTCATTTGGGCCTCATAGGCTCTCAGCTGCTGGACCATATGGCGTCGGAGGAAGGGCGGGTACCGCGGGGAATCGAACCCCGTGTCTTTGGCTTCCCAGTCGCGCAGCTTAACCCCTGCACCACCGAAACTCTGGAGAGGCGGCGCCTGGCCCATCCGTTTTCAGCGACTTATGCAGCCGACAGGCCGGCCCGTGCTCACCTGGTTCTGGGGGCTGCGGCCTTGACCCAAGGCGCTGCTCGGAAGCGCCCTTGGCCCGGAAGACTGCGCTGTGCCCCAGCCCGAGGCTGAAGAGCGGCGCCGGGGAGCTGTTTGTTGGGCCTCTCGAGCCCCTTTCACCGGCGGCACCGGCACCTGACGGGCCGGCCGTGCGGTCGTGTCGTAACTGGGCCGCCGGCGCCGCGCCGCGCCGCGTGCCCTGAGCGGCGGCGCATCCTCCGCTGCCGGACGCGCGCCCCGTGACCGGACATCACCGGGGAGTCGTGTCTCTGCATCGGACGCCCAGCGACCTGCCGCCTCGACCTTCTGGGTGGTTGGCTCGTCAGTGGACAGCGTAGCCAGCTGCGTTGTGCGCAAGCAATTTTGCGGCACTCAATTTTGAATTGCTGCAAATTCGGACGGTGTTGACTGCTGCGAAGGTGCGAGCTGGCATTGCATTAGCCGCTTTGGCATGCCGGCATATGGTCCCACCTGGGTGTGCGCGAGTCGTTTGCTGCGTTCGCGCCATAACGCTCCTCCCACTGACGCAATCCGTGAGCGATTTCCTGTTTTCCGTTGTTGTCGGCATCTGGTGCTCCTTACTCTTGACAAACAATGATTCGTGTATCGAATAGGCCTGGCGTGCTCTGTTCATAAACAACGTAATGAAAGCTTTCTGTCGGTCGCCGGCAGCCGATTGCCTTTCTCCTCGGCTCCGTCGCACGGTGGCGAGTCACGGGACGTTGCGTCACGGACAGCGGACACTCTCCCGCCGCCACGGCCGTGAGGGGCCCATTGTCGGCGCGCCGAGTGGCCGCGGCCGGGCGTCCGTCTGCCTGCGCTGGACACCGGGCCCCGGGCCTCGGGCCGCGGGCCACGGGCCTCGGGCCTCGGGCTCGGGCCACGGGCCACGGGCCGCGGACCGTGGGCCCCGGGCCTCGGTCCTCGGGCCCCGGACCACGGGCCCCGGGCCCCGGGCCTCGGGCCTCGGGCCTCGGGCCCCGGGCCGCCGCGGGCAGGCGCTCGCCGTCGGGCGTGTGCCGGTCGACGATGGATGCGAAGCTGGAGGGGCTTGGAGCTGGGCAGCTGGCTCCCACGAACGCCACCCTCGATTCTCGTTGTGTGGTGGGCTGGCGCCCTGTGTGAGCAGCGGGCGTTGTCTCGTGATTTACGACAAGGAGCAGACTCGCTCTGCATCGGATGTGATGCAGCCTTTCCATCGCTGGTGGCCCTGGTCGTGCTGGCCGCGGCTAGCGTGGGACCGCGTCACGTGACCTGACCTCTCCTCCCCATCCCCCCTTTCGTCCGGTCTGATTTTCAACATCGGTCGGGTTTTCAACACCGGTCAGGCACAACACGGAGACCGTTTCCTTGTCACGACTCCCTCCCCACCAGACCACGTAACAGTGTTCTGGATTATGTGTCCCCTGCGCTCGGCACGTCATGCAACCTGAATTTGCTTTCACGAGCTGCTATACCGTTCCGAGTTGAGAAAAGTTTGCACGATGCAAAATTGTTTTCTTTTATGGCCTGCGGAGATGCCGTGTTGGTATGAGAATGGCTTGTTGATCTTGTCGGTGACAGGGAAATTGATGGCCTTGGCAGGTAAACAGGCCTCCGAGATGGCTTTTTTCAGAACTTACGAAGGGTTGGTTGTAGGATGAGCCTCACAATAACATTGTTTGCTGCATCATGCTCGCTACAAAATCTTGAGTCATGTCCGCAAGTCACAACATGTGTGCAGTGTCCGGGAGCGAGACCCCCTACGAGAAACGCTCGATTGTTACTCATCCGTCGACTTCTTCGCCAAAACTGCTATACCGCCTCGCGCCGCTTGTGTTTGTTTTGATCCGTTGCCCTGACCCGCAAACTGCTGATCAGACCGGCGGGTGTGACTAACTCTTGGTGCGGCCGGCCGCCGGTAATGATCGGCCGCCCGCCGCCCCGTTCGCCAGTCTTCGAAACCTTCTTTAATCAGGTGGCTCCCCGTGCCCGGATAAGCCCTCGGGGCGTATCGGCGCCAACTTGGCGCAGACAACCCAACTTTGATCAACTCGGGAGTTAGATGACAAAAGTTGTCATGATTTGTAACTGATTGAACGGAATATAAAATCATCGCCGCCGCCGCTATACCGGCCAATCAATACGGATTCGGCCAGGGGCTCAGGTGATGTCGCGTCCTCCCACCGGCCGTGCGTCAAGGTGGGCACCGCGCGGCCACGGGTCAACGCCAGGCGAGACACGTGGCCGCCTGTACCGCATCGCCTGTCTGGGTCACGTGACGATGCGTGGCGTCCCGGGCGCCAGTCACGTGTCAAGCCCGTCTTCACCGCCCGCCGCTGTTTCAGATGTCGATGCCGATGACGTCAACGGTAGACACGATGACTTCAGGCGGCTACCATCCGCACCACCCGCACCAGCAGCAGCACCACCACATGTACTACGGCCAGGAGGGGTGAGTGGTGCGACGGCGCAGCTCTGGCTCGCCCATCCGGCCTGGCGCGCCGGCCGGCCGGTGGTTTGAGGCCCGCCGATTTGAAAACCACCGATTCGGCGATGATTTACAGCTCTGCCTGTTCATTAAAATGGCGGCTGTTTCGTTTCGGCTAGATTTATGGTCGTTCAGTGTTTGGTTGGGCGGGATTTTGTTTTTCTCTCGCTAATTGGCTGGTTGAGAATTTATCGATACTTGTTGCTGTGTACGATGCTTATTGTACTCGGCGAGGTAATCGCGGTGGTGGCTCCACTTCCATGTCAACCCTTACCGCTGTTGATGGTTCTTTTCATGATGAGATTGCCTCAATGAAAATCCCTACCGGACACGAGTATGCCAGTTAAAGCAGAATGAGCCAACTGGAAAGTTTTAATGGTCAAACTACAGCGAATCGCACGCTCTTTGTTAAACTAACAGGCCAAGATATTAGAATGCAGTTGGCCATCAAGAAGCAAAGTTTGCTTCTTCGCCGAAATTTGTCGTTTAAAGTTAACCGAAATGGGGAAAAATGAGCTATCCAATGACTGTTTGACGAGTTCGGTCGACTGTGTTGGAGTAAACTGGTCGGTTTGGCGGCGAGCCCCGTCCTGTTGTGCCAAGTTGTGCCGTTCGGCGCACGCGCCGCTGCAGCGTCCCCGGCGCAGTCGGCTGACTGGGCGGCGGCCCGGCCGGCTCCGCGGCTCTCCTGCTGCCACGCACCAGGATAGGGCGGGGTCAGGCCTGGCTCAAAGTCCCCGGGACTCGGGAGGCCCGACAGAGCGGGCACAGGCTCTGGCCAAGCAGCGCGGGGGGGGGACGGAACTCGAGGGGTCGCTGAGCGCAGTAGCTGACGTGGCATAGTGTCAGCCGATTTAACCGGCCTACCCCTGCCTTGCCCTGCAGCGCGCCGCGTCCTGGCTGCTGGTGCCGGAGTACGGCCTTTCGTGTTTGTTTTGCGGTGTGATTACTTACATGAATCGTGTTCCTCGTGTCATGCGATGTGCTCTACCCAGCACCGAAAATCAATGTTTGTTGGTCGGTGTACGACCTGGCGCTGCCGCAGTGTGGTCCTGTTTAGACAGCCCGTTCTCTGTGAAGGCTTAATTGGCCCCGAGTGATTTCGTATCAGAACCTAATAATTATTGTTCGCTGTTTTGTACCGTGGGTTCCAAAAGCAACGACTCGATGATCAGAGATATTTAGGATCGTGTCTTTCTCTGTTAACCCGCGGTTGACTGTGGGTTTCTCCGTTAATCCACGGTCGACTGCGGGTTTCTTTGTTACCGCACGGTTGACTGTGGGTCAGGCTCTATTAAGTCACGGTTGCCCGCGGGTCAGGCTTTAACCCAGCTGCTCTCCGGTAAAGTTCAGGTGCCGGAATGCCTCTGCCTGGTCGAACAGCTCGTACGGCGTCAGAATGTGGCGCTTGGACAACGGACATTGCGTGCCGCTCGCGGCCACGGTCTCACACGCGACTCGCCAACTTGCAAGCTCACAGGAAAGCGTCCATTTACGGGCACACAAACCGGCCGTCGGGGAAGTGGAGCGTGGGACGAAAAAGGCCGTCTTTATGACCAATTCTGCTTAATGCAACGTGATATAAGTAATGCAGCATCGTGACAGCGTATCTATTACTCGCCTTCTCTTTACCCCGCTGACTCTCACGGCTGCGGGTGCGCACATATACCGGCTGTGGGCGCCTCCTCTCACGCCGGCCGGTGCGTGTCCGCGCGGGCGAGGCGGCTGACGAGGGAGCCCGTTGTCGGCCGTGACACGCGCTGGCTGCGGTGCGCCGACAGATACTCGGCTATGAGAGGGTCGTCCGACCGATTGGACCCCATCCGTCTTTGTGCCGTCACGGCGTATAGAGCGGCGTGGGGGCTGGCCGGCGGCGACGGCACGCGCGGCCGACCGCAGGCCCACAGCGGCCCCAGCGGCGCGGCGCCCGCTGGGCTGGGCACGCTTGGCCAGCGGTGCCGCGTCGCGCTGCTCGCGATAACGCCCTGCTCCCGTCCGTCGACATCCCCGGGCGGTCCTCACGGCGGTTTGATCTCCCGGCGGGCTAGTCACCAGCAGGCCGGTCTCGAACTATCCGGTCACCCGGCAGTCCGGTCTCCCAGCGGACCAGTCTCCTGCGGTCCGATTTCCTGGCGGGCCAGTCTCCTGCAGTCAGGTCTCCCGGCGGTCCGGTCTCGTGCGGTCCGGTTTGTAGCCGTCCGGTCTCCCGACGGTCCAATTTTGGGTGTTCTAGTCTCCGGTGGGGTCTGTGTCCAGCGGGGAGTGTCGTCGCCCTTGGCCGCGGTGGTCATGGTCGGCGTTGATCTGTGTAGCTTCCCGGACCTGCCCCGACCGTGATGTAACTGCATAGGGAGGCCGGCTGAAGGCGATATCCGGAAAGGCGGTGCAGGGACTCTGCAGGACAAGCGGCCGTCTTTGTCCGTTCATGTGCCAAAGTAAACCTGACACCAATCACGACCGCGCCGTCCGCTTCGGCAGCGCGTCGCACTCGGGCAGACGGGCCGTGACAGCACGACAATGGCAGAGAGTGGTGGCGACTGGACAGTGACACGGCCGCCGTGACGTCCGGACGGGGACACTGATGCATGGGCGGTGAACGCCGGCACAGAGAATCCGCCTGGCTCGTCCGACCGGGCTTCTCGGCCAGTGTGGCTGGACGTGACCCGGTCGGTCGTCGCCGCGGCGGTCAGCCAGCCGGGCCGTCGCCGTGTGTCAGGAGCCGACAGCGCGTCGGCCGGTGCCGGCGTCGCTCAATCGGGGATCCCTGCCGTCGCTGTTACCCGGCCCCGCGTATTGCGCTGAGCCCCGCCAGTGGCACCCTCCGTCCCAAACGGGCGCCACCGAGCCGCGCCTCCATTTCATCGTCGGTAATCCGAATGTTTGTTTTCTTCCGCTGCTCTTTGGTTGAGAGCTGTTATTTTTCATCTGTAGCGCCAAGTCGCGCGATAAAACCCGAGCCAGAGCACCAGCAGATGAACTGACGGATGTAGACCTCGCCGCCCGCCAGTATGCTCCAACATAATGGCGTTATCAGCGTATTTGCGTGCCCAGGCGTGGCAGCCGAAATCGATGCGCAATAATCACTGTTTGGCCCAGCCATCATGGTGACCGGCTCGTGCGCCGTCGTCGGAGCTCCGCCGAAGACGGAGATTTGCTTGCGGCCATAAAACCAGATCAGGATAGCTTTTGTAAGCCGTGATCAAACAGGGATACCAAATAATGACGGCACGGTGTTCGGAATAGATATGGAAAGATTCGGCGTGCGACCCCGTACGCGCGTACAGATTCGTCTTGATATCAGCACCGGAAAGCGGGGCTCGGTCTCTCATCACCTGCTCAGCTGGGTCACGGCTGGCTCAGGCCGCCGACGGCCGCTCGTCAGCGGCTGGCATCGGCCCCCCTGATGGCCGCTGTCGGGACGGCGGCTCCCGAACACGCCGGCCCGTCTGATGACAGTACCGACCCGTGCGTCGGCGCGCCGCGCGGCGGCGAGCGGCCTCTCCGGGCCTCGCCGGGCCGCCCGCAGCCGGCTCACAAGTCACTCGCGGCTGATGGACTCGCCGGCTCCGCGGGCGTCGGGGCGCGCCGACTTCTCGGATGCATATTGTGTCGGACGGAGTGCCTCGTGTTACGCCGGGGCCTATCCGTTACCGCCAGACAGGTGGCATTATAGAGCTCGCATATTAAACTGACGCGCACCGACTTGAACAAACACGTGTGATGGATGCTGACACGAAAATGACTCGACCCGTGTTGATGAGGGAAAGTATGTTTCTGTTTTTGCTTTCATGCACTTCGCTCCGCTGCTGAGGCACGCCAATTTGGACGTGTGCCGATTGGAAAGGAGAGTGTCACGGTGCCGTGCCTCCAATGTGGCCTCTGAAAACTTGCACGGCTCGCTGTTGTCTTGCGGTCCGTGTACACGCCTGCTGAAAGCGTTGGAGCTCTGATGGCCGCGGTGTGTACAGTGCACTCAGTCGCTGTAACACGCGTTTCCGCATCATTGTTTGCTAACTTCCGGTGTGACACGTCTGATGGAGAACCGCCGCGCCCCCCAACGACGGACTTTGTTTTGTACGCCACGAGAGTAATAGAGACGCACCACGCTATTGCAGCAGTCGGTCTTCTCTCGGCCGTCTCAGTCCGTATCATATGGACTGTGTAAGGCTGTAAGCCCCTCTCGCCGCGCAGAAGTCGTTGAACTGTAGACCGGAACCGGGCCACATCCGGCACCGCTGCGGGTCGGGCGGCGTCGGCTGGTGACGCTGCCCGGCCCGCTGACGGCACGCCTGCCGGGAGCCGGGCATGGCGCGTGCGGTACATGTAAAGACGCGAATGGTGTTTAGCCGTCTTGGTGCTCCCACCGTGCGGTTTACAAACGAACGGAGCGACATGGCGTGGAGCTCTTCACCCGTCTCCAAAGCCTTATGCGTCTGGCCACAGCGTGTAACGTTAGCTAGATGCCGCTCACCCCACTGGACGTGGCCTCTTACCGCCTCCCGCCGGCGCTCGGGCCGCCGGTGGCGCGGCTCGGGCGCGGCTCGGGCACGGCGCCGTCGGGCCGTCGGCATCGTGATCTGTCGGACTTGGTGCGGCGGCGGGCGGCGCGTCGGCGTATGGATCGGGCCGGCGCGTGGGAACGCCGCTTTCCGGGTGTGATGTACAGCCGTCCCTAACAGGTGGGCCGCCCACGGGCTGGCCAGCTCTCCGCGGCTCGCGCTCCGCACACCGCACACCGCACACCGCGCACCACACCGACCGCTGGCGCAGCCTCCGAGCACGGATGCGCCGGTCAGCGGATGATTCGAATGTATCGGGTGGTTTCTTTCTGGAGGCAGGCAAATCGGCGTTATGAACACTGAGATCCGTGTGGTGCATGAATAATGGTTTTAACGGGCGCATGCACAGGAAGTGTTCTGCCTCGATTTTCCCATTGAATCCACACGCTTGGGGGTAAGCGTTCCTGACCCCTGTTAGAACGGTTTCCGTCTTGTTGTTTGTGTGTTCTCGCCGCCGTGCTGTCAGTTTTTGTCCAGCGCGCCTCGTTGGCCGGCGACTGCTCGGTTGTGTAAGTCTCGATCTGGTCTGCCTCGGTCGCCGGTGGCTACGGAGATGTCCGTTTTGAGTTTCAGATGTTTTCGGCCTCTCTGTACCGACCATCACGCTGTCGCCGGCTGTTACATAAGCCAGAGCCGCATCCTCCATGAGGAGGAGCGCTAGCCCGGCCGCTAACCGCGCCTCGTTCCCAGCTGTCAGCGGGCAGCGCCGGTCCGAGTCGACGCCGGCCGACACCGACCCACCGGAATGTGCAATAGTCGTCGCCAGTCTGGGGGGGGGGGGGGGGACTCCGACACTGCCGACGGGCGTCGTGGGCGATGCCCTGTCGCGGACGGGCCTTATCGCTCACGGGCGTTCCCCTGGGGGTCTCCTCGGTGTGCTGCTCTGTGGCCGGCGGAGCTTTCTGTGCCGTCGCACACGGCGACTGACGTGCGGAGCTCTGCGCGGTCACAGCGCGAGCCGGCGCCGCAGAGCCGTGTCCAGCGGCACCCCGCCTCTGTCGGGCTCTGCTGACCGCACCGCTCTCGCAGGGACCTGTACCACCCGGGCCCGCCGCAGCAGCAGGCGTCGCCGCAGCAGCAGCAGCAGCAGCAGCAGTTCCAGCAGCGGCAGCCGCAGCACCCCGGCATGTACATGCAGCACGATATGATGAACCACCACCAGATCCGACCGCCCATGTACCAGGTGAGGCATCTGCTCAGCAGGGAGCCATGCATTGCCCCCGGGTGAGGGGGGGGGGGGGCGCGTCAACCTCGCAACACACATACTGTCTGGTCATGTTGGAGTACCTGCGCGGTGGAAACCAGCGTTCATTTGCCGCTGCATGTTGGTGTGCTCGCGACTGCCCTCTGCCACGATCGCCTGACTGTATTGACATCTTTCAGTCCCGTGATGGCTTGACTGCATTCACATCTGTCAGTGCCGTGATGGCTTGATTGCATTCACATCTGTCAGTGCCGTGATGGCCTGAGTGCGTCCACATCTGTTATTGCCGTGATGGCTGGACTGCATCCACGTCTGTCATTGTCGTGATGGCTTGACTGCATTCACATCTGTCAGTGCCGTGATGGCTTGACTGCATCCACATCTGTCATTGCCGTCATGGCTTGACTGTATTGACATCTGCCAGTGCCGTGATGGCTTGACTGTTTTCACATATGTCAATGTCGTGATGGCTTGAAAGTACTCACATCTGCCAGCGCCGTGATGGCTTGACTGTATTCACATCTGTCAGTGCCGTAATGGTTTGACTGCTTTCGCATCTGCCATTGCCGTGATAGCTTAGCCGTATTCACGTATGTCAGTACCGTGATGGCTTAGCTGTATTCATGTCTGTCAATGCCGTGATGGCTTAGCTGTATTCACATCTGTCAGTGCCGTAATGGCCTGGCTGTATTCGCATATTTAGTGCCGTGATGGCTAAGCTGTATTCACATGTCAGTGCTGCGATGGCTACTGCCTTTGCCGTTCCAGTTAGGTTCTCTTTTTGGCTGCGTTTATTCAAGAACGCCGGCTCTGCAACGGTACATTTTATCTCGGGAATCGGTCCGTTTCGCCTTACCCTCGTGTTTTATCGGTTCCTGGTCTGTTCGTGATGTCTGAGGTGAATTGCCCTGCCAGCAGTCTTTGTTTTTCCGTCGGGCAAGCCAAGCAGGTGTGGGGCGTTGCATCACCAGAGTCAGCTAAATTTGCATGTTGCAGTATGTTTCGTGTGTGAGCATACATCCCCAGTGACGCCACGCCTGGGTGGCGCAGCGGCCAGGTGCCGGACCGGGCTCGCTCTGTGCCTGGGTGACGGTCCGCCGTCACCGTCACGTCACACGGTCACGTCACGGCTGCGCCTGAGACGTGACCGGTCACGTGACATGTCGCAGGGTGCGGGCCACGGCCTGATGGGCCCGCCGTCGGGCGGCTCGCCGGGCCAGGTCAACAACTCCCCCGGCCACACGACCAGCGAGGACAGCAGCGACGACTCGACGCCCCTCGCCCAGGTGGGTCGCGCACCCCTGCAGGCCGGCCGCGGGCCGGCCACCCCTGCGCCGGCCGCCGACTGCCGATTCGTTCAAACAAACTGAAACAGCTCTCCAACTCGGCTGAAGGCTGGATCGGAAGCCTTTCAGTTATGACGAGCTATTTCACCGGTGTAATCACTGTCGAAGGACGCCATTTTAGACTATTGAACGGACCGTTCGGGCGGCCGGCGGCGGGCGCGGCTCGCCAACTGCGATATAGGATGTGCGTCAGGCAAGCGCTGCCCGCCAACTGCGCTATAGGATGTGCGTCGGGCTAGCGCGGTTCGCCAATCGCGCTACAGGATGTGCGTCGGGCGAGCACGGCTCGCCAACTGCGCTATAGGATGTGCGTGGGGCGAGCGCGGCCCGCCAACTGCGCTATAGGATGTGCGTCAGGCAAGCGCGGCCCGCCAACTGCGCTACAGGATGTGCGTCGGGCTAGCGCGGTTCGCCAATCGCGCTATAGGATGTGCGTCGGGCTAGCGCGGTTCGCCAATCGCGCTATAGGATGTGCGTCGGGCGAGCACGGCTCGCCAACTGCGCTATAGGATGTGCGTGGGGCGAGCGCGGCCCGCCAACTGCGCTATAGGATGTGCGTGGGGCGAGCGCGGCCCGCCAACTGCGCTATAGGATGTGCGTCGGGCGAGCGCGGCCCGCCAACTGCACTATAGGATGTGCGTCGGGCGAGCGCGGCTCGCCAACTGCGCTATAGGATGTGCGTGGGGCGAGCGCGGCCCGCCAACTGCGCTATAGGATGTGCGTCGGGCGAGCGCGGCTTGCCAACCGCGCTATAGGATGTGCGTCGGGCGAGCGCGGCTCGCCAACTGCGCTATAGGATGTGCGTCGGGCTAGCGCGGCTCGCCAACTGCGCTATAGGATGTGCGTCGGGCGGGCGCACCTCGCCAACAGCGCTATAGGATGTGCGTGGGCGAGCGCGGCGGGAGCCGACCGCGCCGTGTAATGCTGCTCGAAACCATAGGATCTCAATGCAGCGATCCCGTGATGAGATTATCGATTGCTGTCTGCGTAGAGACGCGCGCGTGTAAGAACTGCGCAGTTTCCATGCGATTCCTCTGCGTGTGTCGCTCTGTGCCTCTCACCCAGCGCCAGGCCTCTCTCCTCCGCGGACACTTTCACCGCCGGCCGGTCGGACAACAGTGCACGCGTATATGGGGGGGGGGGGGGGGGCGGGCCGGCGCATGCGCACTAGTCCTCTCTCCGGCGATGTATGTCTGTGCGCGTCGCGGTCGGACGGGCCCTGCCGGCTGGTAATCGTCGTGATCCGCTGAGCGCATCGCGCGGCGGTGTGTTGTACGCCGCCGCTGGCCCGTCAGGTGTGTCGGGTCTGGCACCGGGCGGTCCCCGGGGGCGGCAGATCTGCCCGCAGATCGACGCGCTCGCCGACGGAGCCGGCATGCGAACGGAAACCGGATTGTGCGCCAGGGCGTGCCGACCACGCCGGTCACGAGCTGGCCGGGGGCTGTCCGCAGCCGGCGGCGGCGGTCGAGCAGCCGACGCCAGGAGACGCGTCGGCCTCGGCGGGGGACGGGTCTTCCCGCGGCGGTGTTCCCCTGGCTGGTGGCAGTCCGACGTCAGTCCGGCGCAGAGTTCTCAGCACACCGGGATCGATCCGGCGCAGAGCTGTTATCGTGGTGGCCAGGCGACCCCCGGTCAAAAGCGGGACAGCGGGCACTCGCCTGAGTTCAGCTGCAGTTTGTTCGCCTTCAAACGATTGCCATTTGTAAAGATTGCGTGCTGTCGCGAGTGCGCCGCGCACAGCCGGTGCTTCGTCGGCCGGTACCGACGACCGGCTCGCGAAAGGAGGACGTGGCGCCATCTTGCTGACGTCATGCACCGATCAGATCATCGAGTGTTAGAGGGAACGGCTAGAGACAGCAGCGCATGATGGAGAAGCCAGCAAAGCACGACAAGAAACCGCTGAAGCGTGCGTCGCGTTCGCCGCTGAGCCAGCGCGTCTGCGCGGCCGGCGCGCCACCCCGTGCGCCCGCCTTCGGCCGCCTGGCCTGGCCGTCTTCAGCGGGCCTGCGTGCGGCCGTCCACCGCGCGCGTGCAGCAGCGGATCAGCCGTATTCAAGAATGGATCGGATGTCGTCGCCGCGCCGGCCGGCGAGCCGCGGCGACCCACCGTGCCGCTGCAAGGGAAAGTCGCTTGGCATGCCGGCCTGGCGTTGGCGCCGTTGTACAGCATGGATCGAGCGTCAAGCGGTGTCCCAGATGCATGACGTTAATGCAGATTGCCGCTGTCACGTGCCTTTCAGCGACGGGCTGGGAGAGAGAGACGACTGAAATGACGCGGGGCGTGACATGCAGTTTGGAAGGAAGTAATTCGTTACCGCATTTAAAAATGAGGTGCCGTTTTACCCATATACCCATACCATACATACCCCAGCGCATCGATTGTCCGTCGTTCACGGGCCGCTGCTGGGGCGTGCGTTGACTCATGGCCGTGCCCGCTTGACTGACACGGTTTCACCGAATGAAAGGCATCGACGTTCGTCACATCCGGCCCACGACGGCGGCAGGATTGCTCCAAAGCGGGCGGATTCGGAGCACTCGCCGGCCGCGCTGGGCCGCGGCCGGACCGCCGCGCCAAATAATCGATGACGGGAACTGGCCGGCGCTCCGTTACCTGTCGTCGTCACGGTCGGGCGCCCGCGTCGTCATGGGAGCCGGCGCGGCTCCGCGCGACTCCCGGATCCGGGCTCCAGGCTCCAGGCTGCGGGCTCCGTTCGGCTCCCGATTCCCGGCTCCAGGCTCCTGGTTCTGTTCGGCTCCCAGCTCCCGTCTCCAGGCTCCGTTTGGCTCCCGGCTCCCGGCTCCGTTTGGCCCCGGCTCCGGGCTCCGTTTGGCTCCCGGCTCCCGACTTCGGGCTCCGTTCGGCGGCTGTCCCGGAGAGCCGCGGGCAACCGGTTTGGACCGGCGTCACCTCGCCTCCGTCCTGCGGCCCTCCCTCCGGAGCCGTCGAGCGGCGCTCCCCGCGGGCCGGCCGGGCCGGACCGGACCGGCGCGGCGCCCTGTTTGGACAGGAAGGAAACCGACCAGGACGTCCGCCTGTTAGGTAAACGGTCCCTGGCGGCGATTGGCGCGCGGTCTAATCGGGCGCCGACTGCGGTGGGGCCTGGGTGAGCCGAGCTGCCGCCCGGGCCGCCGCGGCCGGGCCGCCCGTCAGCGGCGCTCCCGCCCGGCGGAGGCTCGGCTCGTCGGCACCGACGCACTCTGCGCTGAGCAAGGCCGACGTCGTGCCGAGGTCATGCACCTCGTTACTGGGGTTCGATGATCAGGCGAAGATTGGTGTAAACAAACAGTGGACGCCTCATATCAGTTTGTTTTGCTGTTGCGCCGGATGGGGTGTCGCGGCGTGACAGTGATTTATGTGTGCCCGCGAGTGACGTGAGGATATTTTGCGCGGCGTCGAGACGGCTGCTGCTGTCTTGCGGCGTCGAATTGATGCAAGGAGAAAACACTGGGCGTGGCTGGATCCACGCAAAAGCGGAGGCACTGTCAGGCAGGAAGTGTGGCTGTCTCAGGACGGAGAGAGCGCCGGCGTCTCCCGGCGCTCGCGCTCGCGCTCTTCCGCCGCCTGTCGCGCGTGCAGTCGACCAGCGCCGGCCGCTTTGATTCGCTCGGCATTTGCCTGAGCCGGGTCAATGATGGCCCAAGCTGTCATCTGTAGTCTGAACCTGCATCGATCGGCCGGCCGGGCCGGGTACCGGCCGAGGGCCGCCGCCGGCCGGCGCGCCGCCCGCTGGCTGGCAGGTGCCCGTCGCGGAGCGATTACCGCTGGCCGGGGCGGCGCTGCTGGCGGCTGTTACGGCCCGGCCGCCAGTGTCCCAGCCACTTAACGCAGCGACGCGAACGAGTGGAGAGATTTGCACGCAAGGAGCTCCACTCCAGGTGCTTGCATTGAAGGGAAACTGGATCCTTGCGAGGAGTAAATGCAAGCAAGGAGTATATATCTGCTTGGATAGTATATATTATATATTTGTAGGTTATTGGATGTGTCTCCTACTATGACAGGATATATATAGATATACATATAAATATATATATATATATATATATATATATATATATATATATATATATATATATTGTAATCCTCCTGGCAGAAAGAACAGTGAAAGAGAGAAATGATGGCAGGCAAAAAAAACCAGAACAGGGCTTGCATTCTAGTGTGGTGAAATAATGCTACTATTGCATACATGCATATGTAATATTAAGGCCTAAGGCTGCGTGGTGATTGTTCTATGATCACCGCAACCACCTTTGAAGGGTTGTGTTTCGTTGTTGTTTGACGCAGTCGGCGTAGTCTGTTGGCTGGCTGCGAGCGTGGCTGGTTGTGTGGGCTGAGTGTGCGACGTGTGTCCATGCCCTGACCGGCGTCGACTCTCTCCACAGTGGATCCGCACCAAAAGGCCCTCGCCAGAGCCGGCGGCCTTGTCCGCCGCCAACATGAAGCCTGCCAAGAAGCCTAAGGCGCCCAAGAAGAAGAAGAAACGAGACCCGAACGAACCGCAGAAGTGAGTGACCCGAGCGGTCTGCCCTGGCGGCGCGCTGTTCGAGCTGCCTCGGTGGGGAGGTCTCCGGCCCGTCCTTCGGCCGGTCCGGTCTCGTCGGGAGCCGCCACTGTTCCCGCCAGTCCGTCGGCCGGCCCAGCCTCGTCGGGAGCCGCCACTGCTCCCGCTTGATGAGCCAGCTTAATGGGGTGGAAGGAAAAAGTGAAATCTTATTTAATTTTCCGACCCATATGTGGTGCGCTCGCTGGGGCAGCCGGACGGTGTCGCCGTTTGCTCGGCCGTCCGCCTGCCTCTGGCCGTCGCAGAGGAGTCTGGCCGTTGGAGAAGTCACGTTACCAGCTCCCGATGTGGAGATATCGGCATTGGCTAGAGACTGGAACGTCTTGTACGTGAGATTTCTTTGTGGGGAATACGGATGACCTTTGGCGGGCCCGTGCCATGGAAAATTCCTCTCTCTCTCTCTCTCTCTCTCTCTCTCTCTCTCTCTCTCTCTCTCTCTCTCTCTCTCTCCTCTCTCTCTCTCTCTCTCTCTTCTCTCTCTCGCTCTGGACTGGCTCTGGCCCGGCCCCGGCCCCGGCCCCGGCCCCGGCCCCGGCCCGGCCCCGGCCCGGCCCCGGCCCCGGCCCCCGGCCCCCCGGCCCCCGGCCACGGCTCAGGCTCCGGCTCCGGCTCCGGCTCCGGCTCCGGCTCCGGCTCCGGCTCCGGCTCCGGCTCCGGCTCCGGCTCCGGCTCCGGCTCCGGCTCCGGCTCCGGCTCTGGCTCTGGCTCTGGCTCTGGCTCTGGCTCTGGCTCTGGCTCTGGCTCTGGCTCGCTATTACGACGTGAGAAAAGTGGGAGCCGAGCAGCGGTGTCCGGGCCGCCAGCCGGTACCCAGTCTGCTGGCCCGGGATCCAGTACTCTGGCCAGGATCCAGCTGCCGGCCTGGTATCCTGCCCTCCGACAGCCAGTCCGGGCTGGCCTGGGATCCAGCGCTGGCTAGCATCCGGCCGCCGGCCTGGTCTCCTGCCCTCCGACACCCAGTCCGGAGAAGGCGACCTGTCGGGCCCAGAGGCGAACAGACGGGCCAGGCTCGCGGAATTTCCCGTTACGTAAGGCCGGCTCCCGTACGGGGCTATTGGAAGGCTATTATTGAGGCTCGCCTCGCGAACTGGCAGCGGGCGGCGGAGGCAGCGGCCGGCCGTTGATCGTGCTGGTGGGCGCCGCACCACGTTTAGCTTCGTCTGGGGAATGCATGGGGTATATGGAGCGATCGAGGTGATAGCTCTGGGCGCTGCTGCTGTGGAGGTGTCGCCCTCGCCGTAATAATAGACCGGACGGGCAGGCCAGGAGCAGCCGGGTGTCAAGGTGTGACGCGAACTGTGACCAGAGCTGGCTGGTGCGAAATCGCCCCAGCAGACCGGTGCTCGAGCCGAGTTAGGGATAAACGATCCTGGTTCTGACATATATGTATATATATATATATATATATATATATATATATATATATATATATATATATATATATGTATATGTGTGTGTGTGTGTTGTTCAAAATAACGGCGGCTTCGTTGTTTGTGATCTGCTGAGACCTGCTTTCTATCTTGCGCAAGACGTGCTTGTTTTCCGGGCTGTGCTTGTTAAGAACGTAGAAAAATTCATTGCGAGGACAATCCAAGTGAACCACATTCCTGTCTCTTTTCCTGATATTTAGTCAGCGTCTCGTCAATTTTTATGCATTCTCAATACTCTGCATTACTGATACTAGTTTAAGTGACAATTATCACACAATAATATCAGATGACATCCACCTTGGCTCGTGATTAATTGATAAAATGACGGAATAGAATACATTTATGTATATATATATATATATATATATATATATGCATATATGTAACGTTATGAATGTTTTGTACAACGTTATTGTAGTTGCAGTCGGCGGACCCCTACCTCGGTGCGATAATTGATTTAACGCTGACTCGGATCCCGCAAGGTTTTTGGTGTAGTCAACTCCAACCTGGCCAAACCACGTTTTGGTTGATCCAGAGTCAACCCCAACTCAGAGTCAGAGCCGGCCAAAGTCTGCACTCTATCTGGGCTTAGATGAGTATTGGAGCGACGTGTCCATGGGCCCAGATAATTAGCTCCACCAGGGGTCCTGTGGATGATGCCAGCGGATGCGTGGGTTTCGGAGCGATGGCCAAGGCTTTGCGATGCGATGCGATGCGACATCGTGGGCTTATGGCTGATGCTGATTGGTGCATTTTCTCCGTGTGACCGTCGGGGTTTGTGATTCAGCTCCGCTTTCGGGCGTTTGATGCCAGACAACTGGACCCGATGGGACGCGATGAACCAAATTATGGAAATGGCGGCGTCGGGCGGGGGGAGACCGGTCCGACCAATTTGGCCGTGATTGTGTTTTGGGTTATTTACGATGCAGTTTTGCTTTCTGTGCCGAGCGTAACAGATCTTTTTTGTACGAGGGGCATGATATTGGATGTTTTAGTGCTGAAGGGCCTGCTACATTGAATGATGTATGAACAAGCGCGGGGAGAAACAAATGGCTCCTGAGACTCGCATGGGTGGGGAGCATGGAAAACAAGCCATTCAGCCCCTTGGTAATAAATTCCTCGGGCGGCTGAAGAAAGCTCGCGTGTAAAGCTCTGAACCCTTATTGGTGTACGGAGCTGGGCCCGCCCGTGCGGATGGAGTTGTGCTGCCGCAGATCTGTCCGCCTGCGACAGTCGTTTCGAAACGGACAGGAAAAGGAAAACCTTGCCGTCGTCATCATCCTCCCGCTTATGGATCGCTTTCTGTGTCGCTCTTTCCTCCTTTCTCCTAATTCGATTTGACCGTGTCCCAGTTTCACATTAATGGACTTGTTTACGAGCAGAAAATTTATTGGAAATGTTGAGCATGCTCGACTGACGTGTGGAGTTTTTGTGGACGGGCCCCGTTGCCGGCACGGGTCCCTGGCCGTGAATGGGCCCGTCGAGGCTCGCTCGCTCGCTCGCCGCTCACTGAGACCCGACCGGGTCTGTCCGCTGTGGGGTCAGCGAACTGTGACCCGGCAGCATGGGATCCCCGCAGCCGAGTCGTCCCAGCGGCCTGTCCCGATCCGGCTCGTCGGCGACTAACGTCAGGCCGCGCTCCCTGTCACAGGAGTGTGTGTCTCAGTTTAAATTTATTCGAATGCATTCGGCGACGTTGTTTGCATGTGACGAGTGCGGGGAGGATAACGATGCTGCCGCACTCATCTGTAAGCTGCTCTTATGCCAACAAAAACGAAAGGAACCATGCGTACGCAAGCACCCGTCTTGGCTCCAGTTTTATCGCCATTCTTCGCACGTCGTCATTCACTTGCACTCCGTGTTGCAAGTGCAGCCCATTCGAACGTCGCCGGCTTGTTGTGTCTGACTGCACCGTAGTAGTGAGACCCCGCCCTAGTCAGCACGCTGGTGCTATGGGCCGTGCGTGGGGCGCCGGCTCGCGCCCGCCCAGCGCATGCTCAGCCTGACCGGCGCCGTTCCCGCCGCCGCCGCCAGGCCCGTGTCGGCGTACGCGCTCTTCTTCCGCGACACGCAGGCGGCCATCAAGGGACAGAACCCGCACGCCAGCTTCGGCGAGGTCAGCAAGATAGTGGCCTCCATGTGGGACGGCCCCTGAACACCGACGACACAAAAAAGTGAGTGTGCTGGTGGACGGCTGCCTGTGAATACTGGTCTGTTGTGTGACCGTCCTTTCCCCTCCCCGGTCCCCCACCCACGCACATACGAATGGTTGAGCTTACGTAGGGAATCAGTGCGAGGAACGCACGGCCAGTCTAGGCAACTGAAACGTTGTCATGATCAACAAGCCGGGATGCGACCAACAACCGAACATAGGAACGTGAAAGTGCCTGTCTAGAAAGCAGAAAGATGGATATCCCCGGTGAGTGGATGACTGTAGCCTGGCCACGACTGCTCAACGAAGCCAGATGTGCCGCGTGTTCTTTTGAGGGGGATGGGCCCCCAGGCGGTGCATTTGGCCGCCGCAGGACGACGGCGTCAGTGTATGGCTGGCGGCCGAGGCAAACATCAGGCGGGCTGCCGCCAGCTGGTCACCGCCGTCCCCGGGTCTGTCCCGGGGCCGCTCACCGCCGTCCCCGGGTGTGTCCTGAGGCTGCTCACCGCCGTCCCCGGGTGTGTCCCGAGGCTGCTCACCGCCGTCCCCGCGTGTGTCCCGAGGCTGCTTACCGCCGTCCCTGGGTGTGTCCCGAGGCTGCTCACCGCCGTCCCCGGGCGCGTCCCGAGGTCGCTTACCGCCTTCCCCGGGTGTGTCCCGACTGCCGTCCCCGGGTGTGTCCCGGGGTCGCTTACTGCCGTCCCCGGTTATGTCCGCCGTCCCCAGGTGTGTCCCGGGGCCGCTTACTGCCGTCCCCGGTTATGTCCGCCGTCCCCGGGTGTGTCCCGGGGCCGCTCACCGCCGTCCCCGGGTGTGTCCCGAGGTCGCTTACCGCCTTCCCCGGGTGTGTCCCGAGGCTGCTCACTGTCGTCCCTGGGTGTGTCCCGGGGCCGCTTACCGCCTTCCCCGGGTGTGTCCTGAGGCCGCTTACCGTCCTACCCGGGTGTGTCCCGAGGCCGCTCACGCGCCCAACTCGGGCGGCACCAGACCGCAGGGTCCGGCTTGGGCGATGGGGACAGCGCGCGGCGCCTCCGTCAGCGACACCGCTGCCTCGCCTGGGTCTGGCGGACGGAGTGTTCTGGCCGGCGAGCTCATCAGTTTAGGTCTGCAGAGACAGTCAGCCTGTCTGTGAAATTGGCGATCGCTGCCCGCTCGTTCGGCGGAAGAAGGCACGAGAATTGCCGGGCTTTGCAGCCAGAAGCAGGACAAGTTTGACCTGGTTCTGACCGGTGTCCAGAGAGAAATTCAAGATCTTTCTCGGAGAATTAATGTCGTCACTCCGATCGTATCCTGATTGGTTGCATAGGTCCTGTTGTGGTAACTAATTTTTGCGATGGGTTTCGGTCGCCCGGTGTCGCAACGTTACTATTTTCCCGCTCTCACTGACGCTGCAGTTTGGCCATTGTTCCGCGCCCAGCCACCGGTCGTATTCCCGATCTTTTCGGCGTTTCTTCGTCCCAGATACGGCTCCTTTGTGTGTTGCGCCATCGTGCTAACTAGAAGACTCAGCTGTTGATGGGATTAGCAGCGGACAAAACTGCCAATCAGCACAAATCGACCGAAGCTGTTGCCCGTCCCGTGCGGGATGGGGCCGGGGGAGGGAGGGGAACGGCAGACGCGCGCATCCAGCTGGATCTCTGGATCGCCGCTGTGGCAAGCATGCCAGCGTCGCCCAGGCTAAAGCGGGTACCGATGCTGGTGTCAGCGGGGCGCGGGTGCCTCCGCCCGTCGGGTGCCTCCGCCCGTCGGGTGCCTCTGCCCGTCGGGTGCCTCTGCCCATCGGTTGCCTCTGCCCGTCGGGTGCCTCTGCCCGTCGGGTGCCTCTGCCCGTCGGTTGCCTCTGCCCGTCGGGTGCCTCTGCACGTCGGGTGCCTCTGCCCGTCGGTTGCCTCTGCCCGTCGGGTGCCTCTGCCCG